CTACAATCAGCAGTGCTCATACGGTACCTGGATGAATACCTCGCACTTTGGTCACGTGGAAAAGAAAAATGGGAAGATTTTCTGAAGTTTATAAACCAGATTGATGAAAAAACTAAATTTACGATGGAAGTAGAGAAATGTAAACGGTTACCGTTCCTGGATGTTAAAGTGATTCGCTCTAATGGGACACTAAAAAAGAAATTGTTCAGAAAGAAGTCTTATGCCAAGATAATACTCAATTTCAAGTTTAATCACAATTACAGGCTAAAGCTAAGAATAATGAGCATGACCATTCGAAACCTACGTTTAACGGATGTGGAATTCTGTGACGAAAAGTTGGACAAATTGACTAGGATATCCCTCGGCAACGGCTACTCGGTTGAAGTAATACAAAGAAACAAACGGGCCGTGAAAAGCCGATGGCAGAACGGGAACTACGAAAGAATAGTAAGGACGGAGAAGGATTCACAGAAGTGGATATACTTACCTTCCTGCGAACTAATTCAAAAACTATGGCCAATATTAAGGAAATGGAATATTCGGGTGACAATAAAAGAAAAAACAACACTTTTCACAAGTCTACCGACTTAACTTGAATGTGTAGACAAATTGGATTGTTCAAGAGTTTAGTGTATATCATGCGGCGCGAAATATATCGGCGAAACAGGGAGATAAATGAGCATACGAATCAAGGAACATTAAAGGCTCTGCAGGTAAATGGATACCGAAAGATCAGAAATAGCGGAACACATCACAGTACTAGACACGAGATCAATCGGGAGATAAGAGAAAGAAGGGCCCCATGTGATGACAACACAAGGAAGGGAGGATTACGCAGGCGATTGACATTCTTTGGGAGAAAAATCTAATGAGCAGGAGATTGGAGGGAGGTAGAGTTAGCGACAACTTTGCCTACTGCCTAACCAAACAAGAGTACAAGACCAGCAAAAAATAGACACCTGGATCAAGAATCTATCGCTAACCTGAGGAATATGGATCGCGATTAAAAAAGGGGACGGGACAGCAATTTTGGGCAATCAAGCGAAGAGGTTATCCGTGAGTGATGTCTGTTCCAATACACCAGTACAACTTTGGAGCCTGGCAGTCAGGGTGCTAGGCAGACGGACAAGGAAACCGTCACAGGAATTCGGCGTTATGGCCACAATGTACTAGAAAGCCACTTGAGATGCCACATGCGACCAGAGATAGGCGTCCACAGTTTGCTCAGGTGTCACGGGTTTACTCTAGGAGACGACCCGTGAGGGCAATGCCTGATATCTGCAAGCGCTCTGCTCAGTGAGGCGGCACTGTACGTGCTTCTATGGCCTTGAGAAATGGCGCCTGGAGTAAAACTCACAATGGGGCTGAAACCGAGTTGAACCAGCTAACCGGAAAGAAAGGGAACGGATCTATGGGACCATAAGGGAGATCCGAATGGTAGCCCTGGGTCGGATTAAGCGATCAAAAGAGAGGGGGCCAGTGTGATGAGGTCACACTAGATTTTGCCACAAAAGGGCACACATTTTGACAAGTGGAATGTAAACAAGTCAGAAGTCGTGATAGGAGGGGAGTTGAATAAGAGGGTAGAGTTGATAGATGGGCCAGAACAGGAATGAGTGAGTGTAACCGTTTTAAGCAGAACGTTGATGGAGGGATTGACTTCACTTGTCTCTGACGCGTTCGTAGCTTGGTGCGGTGAATGGCAGCATTCACTGATGATGCCGACTACGATGACGGCAAGACGTATGAGAATGTACCAAGTCCATTGTGTGATGCTGGGAATAATGATAAAAACTATGGCAGAGGACTTCAGACAAGGTGCGTTCTACTAGGTCGCCCTGATAACAATACCAGGTTGCGACGAGGTCAACCAATTTCTATAATACCTGCTAACGGGCAATGAAAACAGCCTGACAATCACTAACCCCGAGCTGAGGAATCCATATGGAGGGGTAAGAAAGAAACTTACCATTCCAGGCAGAATTGATGCGCTTGGCATCTCGCGCCACGAACTTTATCCAAAATGAGGGAGCCCAGAATGGAGCGTTTTCTGCATTTCCGTGGATTTTAACCGTGCTTTTGCCACTCTTGAAGCAGCTTGAACACGTAGGTGTTCCAGGACTGAATGGATATTGCGTCACCACGAGATCAGCAATCAGAATCTCTGGATAAAAGGTATCACAAAAGTGGTAATGACGACAGTTATTAGCACTAGTATTATTTGAATTCAAGTTATAGTATTAAATTTTTTTCCTAGAATACTATTAAATATATAATTTTGGATCAAGCGATATACAGATAAAATCACAATGTTGAAGCAAAACAGAACTAAAACGTGAGTTGAATAAACTATATCCTAGACACCTTACCCGGCATAAAAGAATATCTTAAACAAAAAAATCAGATTGCTTTGATTAGCCCTCATTTTCGCAACTTGGTTGGGGCGTCAGGGTGACCGTATGGAAGGTACCTAGTCCTGTGTCCTCTCCTATAGTATTCATGATTTCCAACATCGAACCAGTGACTGGGTACATCCCAAAACGGTTCCAGATGCTGTCTGCAGGGTTTCTGATTTTAATTCAGCCCTCCTTCTTCTAACTCGCTTGCAAATTTGTCGTTGCTACACATTTAAATCACCATCTGGCAGTTTGAAATTTAGCTAAGTCTTCAATTTTCATCCTTGTTTACGTCATATTATAGGACTTATAGCCGATGATGCTCATGCCTAGGCATCTTCCTCTCCATATACTTCAGATTCATCTTTAGGTTTTCCTCTTTTTCGTCCCCCAATTCCCGTTTCTGGGCTTGAACTTGCTATCCCACATCCCACAGATAAACCCTAACCGGTAACTTTTTAGGCTGATTCCAGATTTGACTTAGTTCACTGCAATCGCCTTTTATTCACTTCCCTTTGTCCTTCGTAATCCTCTGCCTGGCGATTTTTATTCCTATTATTGAATAGTTGTTTCTGGTCCAAGCATCTTCTTATTGCTGTCATCACAAAATCTCCAAATCTAATCAGGCAATAGGTGAAATTATCTCTCTTCCAATTTGTTCATTAGGTTTCTTTGAAAGGGGATATCGACAGCCTCCTTATCTCCAATTTATGATGTTCTCTCCATATGAGGACAGTCTTTTCGTGGTCAGCAAGGGCGATGTTCAGTTATCTCCGATCTTTCCGTATCCATTTTTCTGCATAATCGCTGGTGTTTTTTGAACCTTGTGCTGGTTGTCCTTCCCATATCTATGCACTTTTGTTTACAGTCCGAGCCAGTTCGTATAAGGATATACATATCCACGAATTCTCTTGCTTTCTTTTCATAAGCCCCATCCTTTCCTATGCTCATTACGATCCGCATGTTGCGTTGCATTGAAAATTTGCCGGTGGGCGTCCAAATGTGGGACGTGGGGGAATTAAAGGACAGAAACAGACAGACTATGTTCCATTAGAGATGGAGCCTATCAGCCTTCCTCTTTATACTCTCGAAAAATCACACCAATAGAGCTGAGATATAGCACTTTTAGCAATGAACTTTTGGTGGTCTAATTTTTATTGAAGTATGATATTTCAAGCATATGCTGACTATAATTCAGTCTCATGCTTTTCTTTAGTTTCGAAGTAGGTTTTCGAGATTATCAGTAAATCAGACATATGAGATATCTTCGTCATATTTCGTTTAAAGTGATGAAGGACAGATAGATGAATTTTCCAAGTTAAGCAGACCTTACGTCTTCATTGGATTTCGCATATCCTTTTTTCCTAAACGGTATTCTCATCCAGGGTGGATTGCAGTTTCGACCTCGCCTAAGCCGTATCAGTACCCCTAGCGGGATTCTAACCATCTCATGCATCTTACTTACTGTTAGCCTCAAAAACTTACTTAGGAACAAAACACGAGTAGCGTAGTCGATTCTTATAGCAAATACAACTTTGCTTCATTGGGACTCTCACCACAGAATGTGGTATGGGGAAATGCCTGGCCTTCCTTGAAATGTACAGCTGCTCTGTGACTTAAGGGCACTCATGGAAATGTGGTGTAGAGGTTAATGAGGCAATATTATACACTGCATTGCCATAGTTCGAGTCCCGATGAGGATGTTAATAAGACCTGTGAGTATTCGGAACTGCAGTCCACTCTGGATGAGAATACCTTTTGGGAAGGCAAGGCTATGTGAAATTCAATGGAAATGTAAGGTCTATTCATATCACTGTGAGAAAAAACTCAACAGCCAGTCCCATTATAATCTTAAATGAAATAGGATGAATACTTTTCACATATAAAAGACTGAGTTGCAAATGTCAACATTTGAGTATTGCCACCTCTATCAACACCATACCCTTTCATCTAAACTCGAGCTAACAGAAGCCACTTTGTTAATAAAAGGCAGTCATGAAGTGGCAAACACAGACCGACTCAAACAAACAAGAATTGACGATTCGGAATATATCCAAATTACAGATATCACGCTGGCTAAACTCATATTAAGGGTAGAAAAAACAGTCAACAAATACCATGGTATTAAAAATAGGTTAATTTGGCATCTGCAACCTAGTACAATTGTCATAATAACATTTTCTTATTTTTGAGTCTAGCTTGCCTGGGCTAGCCATTGGGGAGTAAATGTAGCAGTGTACCTCTCTTGATTCTAGAATGAGATTTAGCCATCGAAGCGCCTAATCGTAGGTTAGGAGAGTCATTCGAGTCTTCGAAAAAGGGCTCAGCATTGGATTCAAAATCGGATTGGCCAAAAGTGATACTTGAAGGAAGCGAAGCTTGAGAGAAAGGCAGTTTAAAGCGACACATAATTCCGATTAGGCGACAAGGCCCGTAGCTTCGGCACAATGTTGTCAAGCCACGAACAAATGTGTAGTTAGAAGAAGCAACGAATTCAGTGCAACTTTGAGAACTAACTACCTGGAAATAAAAAAAGAATAAGAGAAGATTTTTTCAATGATAGAATCTCGTTGGCTGGGAAGATAAGTAATGTAACCATTTTGAGCTACCAAATTCCAATTAGTGTATGTGAAAAAAAGGCTTCCGAAAATCCTCATCGGAATTTAAATTTAAACGGAGTAGCTATGCGAAGGGGACTCCATCATGACTGAAGGGGAATAGCTTCGAAGTGACTAGGTTTTTGGCAGGAATTCCTTAACACGAGTCGACAGCCAAAATAGATGAAATTTTTTTTTCGGTTTCTGGTTAGGGAAATTCAGGGAACCTTTACAGTCAATATTTTCTTATAAACAATGAGTCCAGCGACGTCGTTTTAAATTTGAACAGACTAATAAGAAGAAATTATACGCCGGTTTAGCTACTTATCTTTGCGCAATCAATCTATTTTTCATTGGAAAAGGTCGAACAAATATTGAGATCCTAGATACACTTTGCAAGAAAACATGCCGGTGGTGTGGAGTAAAAATAGTTTAAATACGTCACAATTACTCCAAAGTCAAAGTTGCGTAGTTCAAATATGTTATGGAATAAAAGAAGCTGTTAGATCGTGTCCTAACAATAATTTCATTATCAAGCAAATAGGGAAAAATAATTAGCCTTTAAAAGATCAAATGACCCCTTATGTCACTGTGATTTCAGGCTACTTGAATCCATATAAATTACTGCATATAGTGTTTACTGGTTATTCAGTAGGCAGGTTTAATAACAGTCTCAGGAACTACTGGCATTATATTCAGTGGTTTGTAATAATCTAATTTTGTGAAAGTGCGTAAGCTAAATAAAAGCTGTAGAATTACAATTCTGGATAAGAGGATTCCAATTTATAGCCGCAGCAAATTTGAGCACAATACTTACCGATTTAATAAGCTGCAGCTCTTGGCGACAATATTTTAGAAGTCGTTGCTTTCCAGGTACATCTGGAACGAAATTTTCGATTTCTATGCAAAGCTCGGCTAGCTTCTCAAGTAATTCCTCGCAAGAATTTACGCGAACCATTTGGGGGAATAACGGGGCGGAAGACACGTGGTGCGGGAGAGCGTCATACTATCAACGAAAACAACCGCGCATAGAATATAAAATTTATCATGTTCAACTTTTTAAGGCATAAATTTATATATTTAGCATTATCAACTGCATGACTAGACAAACATCAATGCTTGGGCTTGTTGGCAATACACAAATTTAAATTTAACTTGATGCTAATAGACTAGCTCATTCTTCAATATATAAAGCAAATAAATTTCCAAAATATCTAGTAGATCCAAAATTATTTTGCAAAATAGTTATTATAGTTATATAAAATCCTATTCGATTTCATGATATTGGTCAGTCCGTAAACTTCTTCTTATTTACTTGTAAGTTTACCCCTAATTTCGGATATTTTAAATGTATATGTTTCAACAAATTTTTATACGGATAAATCAAGAGGGAGAAAACTTTATGCGAGCAGCTCCATAATATCTGACAATGAGGCCCAAAGCCTTAGCCGATAAAATAATGTAAGCATAAAAAGGAAGAGCGTGTATTCATTCTTTCTTAATGTTTAAAGGGTTCTTTAAAACAATATCCAGCATCCACAAGCTACTATCATTTTGCTTTAGCAGGTCAAAAATTCTACGGAAAATGTATTAGAAATTTAAAAAAGTAAAAAATAGAGCAACTCAAAAAATTATAATGAATGTATAGAAAATCCGATTACGGAAAAATCCTTTGATATATTAACGGTGGAGCTACTTTTATTTCGTATGAAGAAGCAAGTGGAAGGGATTCGTAAGTTTGCCTCACAGGAACCTGAAGGTAATTGCCTTGAAGATGTGACTATAGCTTTATGCTAATTAATACTCAATCACCATTCTGTCACTCCGATGAATTGTTGATGATCTTTTGTCCGTCGTGTGGCTGAAATCGTCAGAGCAGAACATCTTGCTTTACGATAAATCACCATAGTACGAAGGAATGAAATGTGGCAGTGTGCAAAACTGTCTACTTCATATAGCCTAACATTGTAGACTTAATGACAGCATGATTTGATAGGATATCCTATGAATTCTCTGCATGCTTGTAGACAATTAAAGTGGATGCAAATAACCTGTGAAGTGGGTGATGATGAGGTGTGAAACAGATTTAATTGTAACCGAAAAACTGCATTATCGCCTAAATCCCGAATATTTTTGAGCCTGCAATTCAATTGTGATTGAAACTATGAAAACCAAGATGGTGTGGTCTTTTTTGCGGTCTCAGTCTCCTTCCGC